ATTTTAAAATTTCATTAAATAGATTTCTTTCTTTTATTTAGCTGCAAAATGTCTCCACAAAGACACTTATTAATCCAGATTCTAAACTCTTATTACAGTTATAATAATAATAATGCTTTGGGGATTGTATACATGTATATGTCATATGTAATTGGCAAATTTTTGTTTTTTTAAGTGGCACCATAATTAATTTACCTCTCGGCACAGCCAAGGTGTGCTATGCAGATAGACAAGAATTAAAAAAACCCAGAAAAGTCTGAATTTCCTTCTCCTCTTTGAGTGGCAACCCTGTTGGACATGCAGTGACGGAAACATCTTCATACCAGTAATTGTTTTCATAGTTCCCTTTGTAGCTTTTTGTGTATTTTGGACCAAAGAACAGACTTTTATATCAGACTGAGAAGTACAGGTAAAGTATGGTTGAAAACCTGGATGTTTTTGAATGGCTAACTTTTGGTCAGGTACTCGGAAGGTGAGTTTGGCCTGTGAAAAATTAGCAAGATTGTAGAAAGTTTTCATCAGGCAAAAAAGAACAGTATAGGCAGAATTTTAAAATAATGGATTTTTGGAATGGCAGAATCCACAAGCAAGTGAATGTGTACAAATATAAAAAAGGTAAAAGAACTGTCATGGAAATGAGAGAAAAAGGGCATGTACATAAAAGTATGACGTATTTAGATTTCCTGGCATTCTTAAGGAGGAAATAAAAATGCTGGTTTTAAGCATTTTCTATGAGCCTGAAGTAAAACTTTGTAGATACAATATCTGATACATATGTACAGGAAATTGAGGTGTGGTGAAATAAGCACTTGTTTCACCAAAATTTGGATTCCTTTTTAGAATTTGTGGCAGAAATATACAAGGCAAGAGAATTGATGCCAATAAAACTGCTTAATTTACTTCTGCAAAGAAAAATGCCCCCCCCCCCTGTCCATTGTGGATGAGGTTCACTGTGTTCTAATTTTAACAAAATTGTACCAAAGCATATGTTTTGACCATTTTAACAAGGAAATACATAATCTATTTTTCTTAAACAAAATATCATAATTATTATATCAGTATCATAAATTACTTCATACATACTTTGTTTGAACTTTGTTTATTAGGATTAAAATAATCAGTATTTGTTAGTTTTATTCCAAAAAGCCAAGAAAATGGAGTGCTATCTTCCTCTTAATAGAAGGGCTCTTAAATGGAATTTAACAGAAATGTCAAAAAAAATTATTGCAGTCTTGATAAGAAAAAAAAAAAATTGGTGCTTCACCACCGTTCGTGAAAAACAAGTTGGTTTCGATAGAGATCCTAACAGAACAGTTGCAGATTTGTGTATATGCACAACTACTTTCTTTAGCTATCAAAATAGCTAAGTTTTACTTATTGGTTAGCAAAATGGCAATATAAAAAAAGCAGGGTTACACCTTACAATCACCTAGTTATACCTAATAAGTTTGTAAACCAGGATATCTGCTACCTACTGTTGACAGTGCATCCAAAGAAGCACATCCATGTGATTGGTTATGTTGGCATATCTGATCGGTTGATTTGTACATAAACTAGGTCTTTGTGGAAAACCTGCGAGGAGTGTACCTCCAAGAAATATATTTTCCCCTTAACTGCAAAATGTTTCAGCTAGGAACCCTCCAATGATAAAAGAGAAGCTTGTTTCTCCTACCTCATGTCATTGGACATAATCCCATTAGTCATTGTATTGGCCATAAAATGTGATGTGCATTATTAACAGCAATTGTTAAACCACAACATTCGGCCAAAAATGAATTTTCCGATTATGTGCGTATATTTATACATGTTGCTCGTTTTAAATAAGCTGTATGAATTGCAATTTGTTTTATGTTTATATTAAATAGTATAGATCTTAAGTAAATTGCTGATTTGCATTAGTCGCCATTTAATTTCTTTTTTCATGGTTTTGTATAATATTTAGCAACAATTTGTACTTTCTGAACTCCAATTGCACCATTAGTTCTCTTGCCAAGCATTTTAAGTTTGCAAAGTCTTCCTTAAAGTTCTTTTTTTAGTTAGCCGTAAAACAGCAATTGTTAATATGGCGTGCTGGTTTTAAGCATGCCATATTAAATACTTTATTACATAAAATACCTTATTGTGGATTTTATGTTGCACTATTTGGCCATACTGTAAAATCTTTTTTGGAAAAATGCAATAATTTTACATTCAAAAAGGTTCTTAAAGCATTAAAAAATTTATAGAAGTTAAGTATGAGACCATAGGTGTTGGTAGTTTCAACGTTTAACTCGCTTCCATGTACACAGATTTTCCCATTACATTTTTTATCCCTGCTTTCAGCTGTCTTTTCTCATATTAGCAACATTCTATCATAGCCGTCATATTTGAATATTTAATTCATACTTCAGTGTCTTTTAGATACAACACTGGTGAATTTACCTTTTGCTCTCTATAATGAAGTCGGTCTTTGGTGAGAAAGTGGCATACTGATTAATGAGAAAGCAAAAATTTTGGACTCTAAATTTTGCATTATTATATTAACAAAATAGTGCATGTAATATTACATTCCTGTTTCTGCAGTGTGTTTTGGAACGAATTACTGAGGTTCGAGGCCACTGCTTATTCGGCGATAGATGTCAAAATTTGCAGTAAAACTTGTTTAATAGATAATATTATGCGAGGAAGCATTCATCAAAAAAGTTTTTTTTTTTTTTTTTCTTTTGAACAGTTTAATTCATTTGTAGTTATGATCTCTGAAATATTAGAATAATGGTCATTGGTAAGAGCTTATGTAATTTGTATTAATTGCTGTAACTTAATAGTAAAGTAATGGTTAAAGTTTTTAAAATTCCTATTAATAATTATGCTTATTTAAAAATTACTGTAGTCCCACCATTAAAGTTGGGGATCTCCAAATTACAGCTCGTGTACATGGAACGCCTGACATATCCAGTATGTGTCCCAGTCCCCACCGCAGTTTATTTTGATCACATTTAGGAATTTACAACAAGAGTATATCTTAGCAATATAGTAATCAGAAGAAACAATAACTGATATATGTAATAAAATCGAACATTTTATTTGTAATTATAAGGAATTTGTCCTAAAAACTTATAATAAATAATATACTTGGAATACATAAAATGTTTTTATGTTAATTTTAGAGAATACTTCTGAAAGTGGAAATAAAGTCACGAACAAAATTGCAAAAATATTTTTAAGAGTATTGCTGCACTATAAATCATTTCAAAATCTTAAAAATGAGACTTTAAATTTGTTCTTAAACCACCCAAAGCTTCGATCTTTGTTCATTTGGTATTGTGGGGGGGAAACAACCTAGTTTTGACAGGACTTAATATGAGTGTATAATTCAGGCAGAAGTTGTTTTTCCTTGTAATTGTAAATTAAGGTAATTTATATGTTAAATCTGTATTAAATAACTTCCATAACTGCCTTTTGTTTTCCAAGTAAGCCAAAGGGTGATTTCCTTTCATTTAAGAAACATATTAGAACTTGTCTATGGCTAGTCAGCATAGTGTAATATGGCAAGTTATTTTCTTAAAGCATTTCAATGAACTTGCAGAATTGATGATTGAGTGTATGTAATCTGATATAACTAATAGCTGACATGATTGAACCATTTTCTAGAGCAACACCTTTATTCAGTTTTTGGTAAATTTTTTTCTTTTCCCTTTCTGGACTACATTTTTTACTCTTTCAAATATATCTGTTCTAGTAATTAATCACACTATGAATGTCTTCTCTCAAAGAAAACTGAATCTGAAGCATCTGTTGGCTTATCCATGGCCAAAGAGAATCACTCCAAAGTGTCAGTTTTTCTATGACAATTGAGTAAATATATTTTCTACAATATCACGTATTCAAGCCACACTGCTTACTGATGAGATGTTTTAAAATAAAGTTTTTCTGGACTCGTTTATTCTGTTCCATTAGTGCAGTCCTTCATTAATGAGGCACCATTGAATGCTATTGAATGAGCCAGGCAGAAGCTAGCATAAGTTGCTTCTTGTGCAGTATTTACTTTTGTAAATGCTTGCCGAGATTTTATCTTGCATTTCAATCATATTTTATAAGAGCTATGTTTGAATTTTGACTAATTTTGAGAATGTTTAGTCTTGTAATGTTTTATATTGGATTCTTTAAAGAATGGTATTGTTTCATTGTAAATTATACACATTGCCTTACTACTTGACTCAATATTAAATTATTAATGCCCTCATTGTTCTATAATTCACTCATCTGTTTTTTTTATTCATATTTGTAGAAATACCAACATACTTATATAGGCATATATCTCTAAATCAAAATAATGCATTTGTCGCTCCGAACTCAATGCGCAGCAGTCTGTTGTCTCCTGTAGCTATACCACCTGTTTCTCGGAACATATCCGAAAACACTCGCAAAATTTCATGGAAGCCTCCCAACTAGATGCCACATAGCTGCAATGGCATTTCCTTGACACTTGTGTATGAGTACCTGTACCATAGGTATTTCACTCGATGGCCAACACCAAAGCAAAAATTTGTGTACTATTCTAAAGTATAGTATGTTGGTATGAACTAACTAGTAGAGGTGCCATTTCGGACTTTTCCAGAAGGGGCAAGACTTGAAATGCCTTATCAGGTGAGAGGCAAGAGGATAAAAATGCCTTAAAAATATTAAAAAATTGTTCCCAAATTGTGAAAAATGAGTAATTTTTTTTTAATTTCAAAAGCTTGGAAATGACTCCCTTTCTCTCCTAAATACCGCCTGCTGGGTTAGGTCTTTGGGATTTCTAATTGAGATAAACATTAGCATTTTGAGATGTTTTGAATTTTAGTTTGTAGCATTAGTATCCTGTGCTTCTGTAAAAACAGTAAATTAAGTTTCCCTATATACAATTCTAGGCTTTTTTTATAATCTAATGTTTAATCCTTTTTTATGAATATTTTAATGAAAATTCTTTGTTCCGTCTGGAAAATTTCAATACATGACTAATGTGCTTTATTTTATTTTAGGTATGATAGATGCCTTTGTAAGAATTCCTAAAGAACAAGGTTTTCTTAGTTATTGGAGAGGAAATTTGGCCAATGTCATTAGATATTTTCCAACACAAGCCTTAAATTTTGCTTTTAAAGATAAGTACAAACAAGTTTTTCTCGGAGGAGTTGATAAGCGAACGCAATTTTGGCGTTACTTCTTGGGTAATCTTGCATCTGGTGGTGCAGCTGGAGCAACTTCACTCTGCTTTGTGTATCCTCTGGATTTCGCCAGAACACGATTAGCTGCTGACATTGGTAAAGCTGCATCTGATCGAGAATTCAAGGGACTAGGCAACTGTCTTGTCAAAATTTTTAAATCTGATGGCTTATATGGTTTGTACAGAGGCTTCAATGTATCAGTACAAGGGATTATCATCTATAGAGCAGCCTATTTTGGATTTTTTGATACTGCCAAGGGAATGCTGCCTAACCCAAAAAGTACACCATTCTTGATCTCTTGGGCTATTGCTCAAACTGTAACAACTGTTGCTGGTATTATCTCTTATCCATTCGATACTGTGAGAAGGCGTATGATGATGCAGAGTGGACGTGCTAAGTCTGAATTGATGTACAAGAATACACTTCACTGCTGGGGCAAGATTTACAAACAAGAAGGTGGAAAAGCCTTCTTTAAAGGTGCCTTTTCTAATGTTATTAGAGGAACAGGAGGAGCTTTAGTGCTTGTTTTGTATGATGAAATTAAGACATTCTTTTTTTAAAGTTGGTTCTTCATAGAAGGGAAATTATATTTAATATTTTCTTATGTCTAACTTATACATCACTGTTCCATTTACTGCATTCCTGTGTTGGACCAATTTTCATGCAGAATAAAAGTATTTTCATACCTTGAAATGAATTTTGTCATTATTTGGATATTTTGCGAGTTTTGTTTTAGAAAATAGTTTTGCTCTTATTTACTGTTGCAGTTTCTGCTAATACACGATTATGTCAAAGTAAACATTATTAGTAATTTGCATTATTACACATATAGCAATTAGGCACAAGTTGCAGATTATGCTGGAATTTTAAAGGAAAATATGAAAATTCATTTCTTGAAGGTAAAAAGCAAATTGAACTTGATGCCCCAGTTGATTTTTAACATAGTTAGTTATTCCTATTAAATTTTTGTATAAATTGTTTTATTTACATAAGTTTGTCCACACAAATATATGTAAATTATTTTCATTGTACTTAATGGTAGCCTTTTTATCTGATTTAATTTACATCTAAAATCATAGTGTAAAGACAAAGAATGCTAACTAATTTTAGAACAATCTCAGGCCATTTATTTAAAGTAAACATTTTATGTTTATGGTAGCCCTTTTTTGTGGGCTGTTCGATCTGCATTGTGATTTCTATGACAGAAGGGCTTCTCAAAATTTCCAAGAGTTATTCCATTGCTTTCTGGAGTTTTATCATTCATGATTGGTTTATGCATAGAAAACTCCTTTCAAGAGAAACAGTTATACGCGAAATGTCGGGACTTCGTAGGGAATACATATTTATTACTTGTATCAATATTCATTTTTCAAGAAATGCAGTGGTACTTTTCGAAATATGACATATTGGACTGTAATTGTTTGAATCATTAGTGATGGTGGGGAAGTCACATCTTTAAATTGGAATTTATTTGTTCTACTTTTTGTGCTTCCACTGCAGCAATGGCTCTTTGAAAGTCGTTGGGTAAGGAAATGGAATTTTTGTAAATAATGGATGTATAACTTTCTCTTTAAGTATGTGGATTGATCGTACCATTTTTTGCTTGTAAGAGAAGTTTGCGACAGTCTGTTAACTTGTCACTGAAGCTTTCATTGGATTGGTTTAGCAGAGTTGCCAACTCTCCCGATTTAGGCAGGAGACTCCCGTTTTTCGACCGCTTTCCCGCCAGCCCGATTTACAATATATTTCTCCCGACTTTTTCTTATTCTTAAAATTTCTCACAATTTTTATGGAACTTGGCTTAATACTTCATTATATGAACAAAAAAAAAGTGATTTTGGACGTCTGAAAGCAATTGAATTTGATCTAGATTATATCTAAAACAAAACCTTGCGAATCGGATGAGAATTTCTGCTTTGAGTGACAGCATATGTATCCAGAAACGTTCTCCAGTTCTCAAACGGGCATCGAACTCCACTGCGAGTCATCTGGCATATATCGGCTAATAAGCACAAAGCAAGCTCAAAGCTGTTAGTTGTATGTTCTTAAGTTATTCCGTTCATTTTGTCCCGAGTTGTGCGAGTACACGTGCCTTCGGGAAATACTTTTAGAAATTATCATCTTTTGTTATGTCTGCGAGAAAGGTGAAATACTCCCCTGCGTTTCAAAAATAGTAAACAGTTGACTTTCCTTCCATTATTTCCTCAAGGAAATGTAATAAATTTGCGATGTGTACCATCTGTCATTGCGATTTTTAGATTTTGCATGGTGGAAGGGCGGATGTTCTCAATCGCGTGTACACAAAAACACAAGGACAGCATGAGTTTTGAAAAAAATGAAAAATTTTTCTTCGGAAGCAAAAGACCAAAAAGTTATTAATGCAGAATGTCTGTTCTCTGCTTTTTTACTGGAGTACAACCTGCCACTGAATGCCTAGGATCACGCTACAGCTTTATTTAGAAAAATGTTTCCCAATAGTGAAATCTCTAAGAATTGCACAATTGCAAGGACCAAAACAGGTGCAATTGTTAAAGAAATGGGTTTGAAAAATAAATCTTCAGTTATTGGATTGCATTAAAACAGCCCTGTTCGGATGGAAGCAATAATACAGATTCAAAACTGCATCGAATTGTTTCTTTTTTTAATCCAGAGTTTTCAGAAATTGAGTGCAGTTGACTTTCTGTCCCCACTTTAGAATGACATTCGACATTCTTTAATATAGCACAGCTAATTATTAAAACTTTAAAAGAAAATGCAGTCCCTTTGGATAATTGCTTAGCACTTTGTGCCGATGATGCACCAGTGATAGTAGGCTTGGAGACTGGTGTTGCAGGCATCTTAACAAAGGAAAATTCAGATTTGCAGATTATGAAGTGCACCTGTCACCTCTTAAATTTAGCAGCTTTTTACCAATAAATGTGGATGAACACATTGTTGATATTTATTATCTTGAAAGGAGTTCTAAAAGGAAGGGAAAATTGAAACTGTTCCAACAACTGCATAATACTGAAATGAAAAAAATTTTGAAATATGTGTGTACATGCTGACTGTCTTTAAAGAAATGCTTATCTAGAATCCGTGATCAATGGAGCATTTTTGCATTTTTAAAGAAGTAAATGCTTCGAGAGTTAAGATAAAAGGCTCTATTGAAAGTTATAAAATACCTAAAGTAAATGGAGGTGTAGTTACTACTTACATTGTTAAAAATAGGTTTGAGAAAAATAATTTCTGCACCATTCAGCAATTCAACTGACAGTTCTCAAAATATAAGCGTAAAGCTGATATAAATTTCTCACAAAATAAAAAAATTGCTCAACACACGAAACATTTTCCGATTACTGCAAGTTTAGCTAAGCATGAATCTACCACTGTTCATAACATTCTGAATATGAAAGCAAAACCTGCCACTGTTCATAAGATTTGTACAAAAACTGATTACAGTGTCTTTTTGTTTTCTTAAACGATGCAAGTAATAAAAATGTTTTTTATGTGTAAGGTATTTTCGTGTTGCTTGAATTAGTAACTGTTTAAAGTTAATTCATTATTAAAAACTATAATTTTATCATTTTGTGAAAAAATCTGATTTTTGAGTGTCAGCTTGACAAGTATGATTTAGGTTTGTACGATTGTTTCTCTTAGTTTTCGAAAGTATGTAGACCTGTTTTTGTTGTCATTTAGGTGAACCCAGGCTTCATGAAGGGTCACTTGAATATTTTATTTATCTCCTAAATAGTTTTTGTCCAGGGTTTGACAGATTGTTCTGCATTTAGCCATATGCTAAAGCTTTTCGAAGTTATTGATTAAGTTTTTGATTAAAGGCTGCAATTCATATCTGCATTGACGAGAATTTTCTCATTACCTGCAGTTTAGAAAGAGTATATATCTTTTCCAAACATAATGATTAACTTTTTTTCCTTTCTAATTAATAATGTTTTTGCTTTGCACTTAGAAATTTTAACAATTCACAAATGTTTCTGTTTGTAAAGCATAAATGTATCTTTCAATCCAGTTTGTTTACATGTAGCATTTAGAAAGAACAGATTTAGAAGTATACAACATTTCAAATAATGTGTATTATATATAACCTAAAGCTGAACTATAGCATGCTAAAATAAAGTAACTCTCCTGGTTCTGAAATATTTTGATATGGCATGATTCTTGAATAATTCACAAATGTTAAAACAAAAATTAGGAAGTACACCCAACAAGTAGCTAATAAAACCTAACAAAATGCAGAAGCATCACTTTAAAGCAGTGTTTCCCAACCTTTTTTTTTTTTTTTTTTTTTTTTTTTTGGCTATGCCCCACCAAATTCTCTCTGAAATTCGTATACTTCCCCTAGCACATAATTTTTAATATTCAAAAATTGAAATGTTCATGAAAGATAGAGTTTAGTAAGAAATCACTAGGAAATCTGTCAGCAAGCACAGTAAGTAAACTCAAAACATTTGGAGAACTGAAATTCAAATACAAAATTTTAATGAAAGTTTTTTCTATATTTTAAGTATTGGTAATTATTGTTTAAAATTAGTAAGATCCTTGCATTTGATGCTTAAGGCAAAGAGATTTTTTCAGGTTCCAATTTAGTTAACGTCAGTCTCAAGTTGTCTGTTTTATATCCAGCTGATTTCTATTTTAGCAGCAAATAATTTATGGTACTAAATCAGCATTCAGCTAAATATGAAGATGGAAACGTTAACAATAGTTCTCTTGTAAATATTGATTTTGGTTTACTCAAAGCCATGTAATCGCTCCTTTTATATTAGTTTTAATTGACTCCTCATTTTGCATTTCTGCGAGTTCTTGATACTGTGCATGTCTGAAATATCGGCTCAATCCACTAACATTGGCTGCACTAAGTTGGGAAATCTGTTTTAAATCAGCTGATAAAATTTTCATATAATCGACAGTAGCATGTATAGCGGTATCACCCATTTAACATTTTTGGAGTCAATGAAATTTGAAAATTTTTGTTGTAAATATACGCTTGACATAATTCAGTAAAATAGCGAAACTAAATATCTTTGCTTTTGCACCGAGAAGAGTTTTATTTGCTCCTTGAAACCGTTTATTCAATAAATAAAGTTTTCCAAAGAATATCGGCTAAATAACTCAAAAATGCCTTACCATCAACCGTTAACAGATTTTTCACTTCAGGTTTGTCGCTTAAAAAATGAGTATCAAATAGTTCCCTTTCGACAGCCCACTTACTTCAGTGTGAAGTATAATATAGTTTTGATTTTGATCTTCACAAAATAACTTGATTTTCTCATTTGGCACTAGCTTTAATAGAATTGATACAGTTTATAACTGAATTTAGTATTTCATATGGAACAAGCGAAATGTTTCTAGCTGCCCAGTTTTCCCCATGAATAAGACAATGCACAAGAAGCTTTTCTGGATTCTTATCGTTCATCAGTTTTAAGCAGCCCCTTTTTCTTCCCCATCCTTAGGAGCACCATCGCAGCACAAGATTATATATTTGACATCCAAGTAGTACTTTCAAATGATCTACAGAACACTTAAGAAAAATCACCTTTATCAATACATCTTGCGCAAGTTATAGTACGGCCTGATTCATCAATTGGCACCGAAAGGTTTCTTGTTTCCAACTTTTCAACAATTTGTATTTCAATATCCTCACTCATTTCATCTATTCTGTTCTATAACAATATTGTTACTTAGTGGCATAA